GAGCTAACAAAATAAATCAACAGATTTGTTTTCTATCGGAATCATTTATCAACAAACTGTTGATCAACAAAATAACCAATTAGAGAGCTAACAAATCAAAACCAAATTAAAAATCTGGGAAAGCTAACATTATCAACAACTTCAGATACATAGAGAGATCCGGTGGGTTTGTATCAACAACTTCATCAACATCTTATCAACAACAATTTTTTTTTTTTTTTTCATTCAGATCCAGATCTACATAGAAAAAAAAAAAGAAGAGAAAACAGAGAGATCGAAACAGAGTTTCAAGCATCTTCATCAACATAAACATTTTTTTTTTCATTCAGATCCAGATACATAGAGAGATCGGGTGGGTTTGTATCAACAACTTCATCATCTTATCAACAACTTCATCAACATCTTATCAACAACAACTCACTCGATTGGGCTTAGCAGAAGGAAGAGCTGCTGCCCTCTCTCGATCCAAAGTAGGCAAGGGAGCAAATGGAACCAGTCCTACCTTTAAGTTGCCACCGGCATCACCGCCATCGCCTCTGTGTTCGAAAGAGGGCCTCCTTGATCTTTTTGCTTCTCTTCGTCTTCTCTTCTCTCTCTCCTCTTCCCTTCTCTTTCCTTCCCTTTCCTCTGTGTTCGAAAGAGAAGCAAAAAGAAAGAAAAAAAAAAAACCCAAACGACGTCGTTTTGGGTATTCAAGCCACTATTCGAGCCATCTATTTCGAGCTACGAAGTATTTTCCTAATTAAGATTGATAAAAACAAATCTTATAAGTATTGTATTAATTATTAGGGTCTTATATTAAACTATTAGGGCTTTAAGTTAACATATATATGGATTTTTAATAATATATATATATATATATATATGCAAAACTTCAAGGGAAGTGGGTAAAAATTTTCATTTAGGTCTCATTTGGCATGCAACTATTTTAGTTTAAAAGTCAAAAAATTATTAAAAAACCAAAAAATCTATAACCTATACAAAAAAAAAGTCAAAAATTTTATTTTCTCTCTATTTTTTGTACATTTTTTCTTAAAAAATCAAAAAATCATTCCAGATATACTAGTTTTTTTACCTCATATTTTAGCCAAAAAGCTAAAAATTACTAAAAAAGTATGTTCCCAAACGAGACCTTAAATAACTTATTAGTTCAAAGGGGGTAATATAGTCATTTTGAATAGAAAAGAGACGGTGTTTCTACTAAATTAATGAATTGGGAGAATCTCGATATTGTCAGTAAAAGTAAGGGAAGTTTTTATTATTATTGAAACCATAAAGGATGTCATTGTATTTGTCAAAAATCTCATAGTAGGCGAGTGTAATTTACTCTTCTTTTTTTTCTTTTTTCTTTTTTTTAAGATTTTGAGTTTTTAAAAAGAAAGACTAGTGAGCCTAATACTACCAATAATGTTTGAGACCACTAAAAGTGGTGCTCTAAAAGCATTACTAGTGATGTGGTAATGGACGGGACCCACTACTTGTATCTTGTTTTATTTATTTATTTATTTAAAGTACTTATCAACTCATTAGTAGTGCTTTAGAGCACAACTTTTAATAGGATGTATCATTACCCTAATACTACAGAGGGCCAAAGCCAGAAGACATTGCTAGTCATAAGGGATTTGACATTGGAACTTTTTTATGTTAAAAGGGAGCCATCGGCTTGGAACCCACATAGGCTGATGAAAGGCCGGTGGTGAAAGCCCCCACATGTGCCCCAGTCAGTTATTTTGGGGATTAATTTTTTTAATAATATTTTTAAGAACAAATTATACAAATAGTCCCTATCGTTTGAGACTTGTGTCACTTTACTTCTTAACTTTTCAATTGTAACATATTTGACTCTGAATTTTGAATATTGTTCTAAATAAGAATAATTGAATATATCATTAGATTTTTCAAGGGTAAAATTGTCAATTTGATAAAATATAAATTAATTTAACAAAAATAAATGTCAAATAAATATTTTTGAATTTTTAAAAATTAGTTCTACCTACTAAAAATAAAATTATGTAAAATTGATAAATCTTTTAGACATTTATTTTATTTTTTTACCAAATTAATTTTTATTATGTGTTTAGATGATGATCATGTAAAATTAATTTTAAAAAATTAATCATGTAATTTTTATTAATTTTACATAATTTTATCATTGGTGGATAAAAATAATTTTTAAAAAATTAAAAATATTTTTTTGACATTTATTTTTGTCAAATTAGTTTATATTTTATCAAATTGACAATTTTACCTTTAAAAAATCTAATGATATTTTCAATTGTCCTTATTTGGAACAAAATTTAAAATTTATGGTCAAATGTGTCACAATTGAAAAGTCAGGGACTAAAGTGACACAAGACTCAAACTATAGGGACTATTAATGTAGTTAACCCTATTTTTAATTTATTTTTTTTTAAAATGTGAAAAAATAGAAAGAACAAGTCGACTTTTATTGTAATTTTTTTGGGTTATATTAGCCACTTCGCAAACACCTGGCATTTTGACCAAGGATTGGCCTAAAGAGATTACTTTTGAATTCGAATTTACTGTTTTGTAATATAGTTTCTCATACCCTATTGTCCTCCTCCTATAATTGTTGAAGAAATTGGGAAGCTCATAAATGCGCAGCAATACGGTACAATTTGTCCAGAATACTTTGTGAGGGTCCAACAAATGCTCCAAGTCCAACTTCCATTGTTTAGAATTACTCATACCTACTTAAAATTTTAACCATATAAACCATGAATGAAATGTATATTAACTTATTCTTTTACGTTTTATTTGATGTGAGATTCTTATTTATAGTATTTATAGTGAGTTAATCCAAGAAAACATAGGGGGATTGAGTTGGTCAATTTCAATTTGTGATGAGCCCTTTGTTGCCAAAACTTTTTGAGAAAAAAGTATTTTAACAAAACCCACAGCCAGTCAACTAGATGATGACCAAGATACAATCAAGAAGGAAAAAAAAAAACACTCGTCTCTTTATCCTAAGGCGTCTCTACAGTACATGACCAGGTCTGAGAAACCCATCGCACAGTAGAAATATGGCTTGGAACAAAGAAGGATCCAGACAGAGATTCTGGCCTCGAGAAATAGTTGAGAAGGAAAAACACAAACATGTGCAATTACACATACCCACCAAGTCCAAGTCTAATCCATCAAAGTGGGGTGAAGAAGAATTGGGTAGTTTATGTTGAGTCTATTAATGGTAAGTCTATTAATGGACCCCTTGACATTTAAGTACCGACCTTCTTCTGTTTTCCCTGAATCAATGCACTCTGCCCTGCCCAGCCGAGATTAATACAATGGCTTGGTTTGGAAAGTGAATTGGCTTTTTAACTTTTTTAACCTGAGGCTAAAAAGTTTGATTGGGGAAGAGTTTTTGGCTTTTTTAATTTTTTTTGAGAGAAAGAATGTAATGATTATAGGTTAGATTTGATATTTTGTCTTATTGAGTTAAAAAACTTGTTTTGTTTTTTGTAACTATTTTAGCCCAAAAAAAACCTCCAAGCCCACTTTCCAAATAGACACAATCTTACCCTTACCCTGGTAATAATTAGTCAGCAAGACCTTGCAAGTTATTCACTTGCAACCTGATATATATATATATATATATATGATATCTTAATCAACTAGTAGATTACATTTGATCAAAATATACTTGTAAACTGGGGTGTTTCAATGCAACATGTGATCTAACTACTCACAGTGCCAAATGCATAGGGCTGGCAAATAAGCCGAGCCATGCTTTTTGGTGCACGAGTTCAGCTCAATAAAAATTAGTCGAGCTTTAAGAATTGAGCTCGAACACAACTCATCAAGTAGTTGAAAAACTCTAGCTCAGTCAACTCGATTGCATAAAGAGGCCGAGCTCGGGTTGGTTCTCAAGAAACCTTAATTAATTTGCACATTAAGAGAAAATTGTTAACAAAATATTAAAAAAATGTTCTATGTTTTCAATAAATTTCATCAATCAAATATGTAAATTTGTATATACACTAAACATAAACAAAGAAATAAAATAAATTACTGAAAATATATTTAATAATTATTAACAATTAATATTAAATTTTTTATAATTATGTTTATGAGTCTATTCGAGCAGAGCTTAAATCTACTCAAGCCAGGTCAATTACTAAACAAGCATAAAAATTACACTCGAGCTCGTTCATTTAACAAACAAAGTGAGCTTTAAATGAGTTGAGCTCAAGCCTTGGTTTGCTGCCCATACATGAAGAATCAACAATACATATATACACATTAATAAAAGTTTCATGCCCAGTACTGGGACCGGATCACATACATTTTCTCCTATGACAATCATTCACATGCAATGCACATGCCAGTGTTAAAACTACCACTCTACTGTGTGTGTGCCAGTGTTACACTCAGATATTCATGGTCTTCTACAAAGGCTCCATGACACTCATAAAGGAACTACAACATGTTCCTTCTCTATTGAATGTCGTCGCTGTCGCTATCGTTATCATAGTATATTATTAATGGCAGGTGACAACCCCCAATGAATGTATTGTCAAATCATAAGTGCAAGATCATGACTTCTCGTTACTCAGCGGCTTGTTATCTGGGACTTTCTACAGTCCTCGTTTACAGACTTATTCGCTACAGTTTATGTATGTGTTTTAGTTCTTCTACTAGAGGTGAAAAAGAAAATATTTTGTCTACCCTTCATTTATTGATGAATATGGAGCTCTTATGAAATTCAATGGCGTATTAAATGGTTCGGTTTCTTAGGTAAAGAGATAGCTACTGTTCCAAATGCAAACTCAAGATATGTGAAACACATCAGGATATTAGTTAGAGAAGATCTAAGTAGAGAGAGTCCATGTCAAAAGTCTAAATTCTTCAGAAACAAGTCAATGCCATAAAACAAAACATTAATTTCATGATGAGCGCAAGATAAGAAAGGTAAATCATGGTTATCTATGCTACTTAAATCCGGACAAGAATATACTTGTCACATCATTTACTCAAATATAGATGAACAAGAAATAAACAAGAATTCTGAACTTATTTCTCTTTTATTGTTTCCATACATCAGACAACTTAAACAATGTCTCCATCTATCATCTTTTTTATGGGTTTCATTCTGTTGTTCATTGTTGTTAAATTTAAGGTCTAAAATTAAAATCAAATCTCTAAAAATACACTGCTATAAACAACAAGAAGGTTTTTTTTTTTTTTCTTCTTCTTACCCTTTCCTCCTCTTGGGACTCAGTATAAACTCGTCATCATCGTCGCTCTCAATGATTCTTTTCTTAACTTTTACTTCAGCAATCTTTGATACCTGTTGCTGCTTTTTTGAAATCTCAGGTTTACTTCGTGGCAGTGGTGCTGGTGATTTTATAGGAGTTCCCATCCGAAGCTGCTTTTGCCTTAACTGCTTCTTCTCATAAGCCTTCTTTGCTCTTCCAGTTGACAACATGCCATGTTCCATCATCCTGCTTTTTGGCACGCATTGTCTTTCAATTAGTAACTTTTCTATTTTTAATACTTATTGATTTATTTATTTATTTTGATAAACTATCTGTATTTTCAGTAACTAAAAGCAGAAATTTTAGAGTTCCCACCAAGCTATAATATCAAAATTAACCATGATTGTTACAATTTGCCCCATGATATTCACACTCCACTTGAAGCCACTTACTCCAATTTTTATTTATTTTTTCTTTTAAGGGGAGTGTAAGATATGGAGAGTGAATAGCATTGCCCTACAGTTTTAGCAAAATAATGCACCTCTGAGGTTTCAAACCAAGGGTTAGAAAACACGGGAAGTTTACGAGTACGGTCTTGTCTTCTGGGAAATAATTTTATGTATGTTTAAGCTAGAGACTATCACGATTAGCCTTCCCCTGTTTTCTAATTTTGAGGGAGTTTAATGTTCATTCCGTACATGTTGTGTTTACAAGATGTTCATTCCATGCACATTTCTCTCTTAGCAAGATGTTGATTCCTTGCCTATTTTTCTCCCAAATTGTCATTGAGGGAGAGTTACTATTACCATAGTTGTTTTTTGACAACTTGATCGCAACTATTTATTACGATCATCTCATTTTTGAGTTCAAGTTGGACACTTCACTTTAACTTTTTCGGGTTCCAACTTGAGGACGAGTGTTGAAGATAATATCATATTGTCAACGATATCAAAGATTTACACTTATTGTTGAAGATACAAAGAACCCATGATTTATATAATGATTTTTGTATTTTTATTTTTGTCAATCCCTTAATTAAAGGGATATGATTGTATCTCTCACTCTTTATATAAACAGGTGTTATCAGGTAATAAAGACCATCAAAGTGTGAATGAAAGATGTAGACTGTAGGGGTTGTGTGTGGACATAGGCCAAGATTGGCCAAACCACATTAATCCTCTATGTTCCTGTTCATCCATTTTTGTTCTTATTTCATGTTTATTTCCATTCACACTCCAAGTTTGACATTCTTTATAATAACAATGCTCTAATGCTCTATTTGGTTCATTGAAATGAGAGGGAATGGAATAAAATGGTGATTCCTTAGACTTTCCTATGGAATGACCATTCCTTGAAATGGTGAAAGATGATTCCGTTTATAATGCATTTATCATTATTTTTTAGTCTAACCAAACCTATGAATGAATATCTTGATGGAATGATCATTCCAGTGAACCAAGCACTACCTAAATTCTTCAAAATGCAACTTGTGTACTTCAAATATGTTTTAAAACATTTATAAAATGAATACATCATGTGTATGTACAAGAGAACTTATGCAACAAAGAAAATTTTCTGCAGAAGGTAGGCCACAATCATCAACTGCACTTCAGTGATTTAGTTCAAGGCTTTATATTCTACAGTGGCTAGAATCATATATAAAGTAGGAAAATTAAACAGTGAAAATGTTAAGGCCGTGTTTGACATTAAGAAATTCAAAATAAGAATGCTACAAGAAGAAATTCCAATGTTTGGTTGTAAACAGAAAATGAATGGAATTTTGTGGACGGCAAGATGAAAAGCTACAAAATGGCCGAATATTGCTTGTCAAGCAACTCTAAGCAAGCTTTTTTATATGGGCATTTTCCTATGATCTTCCTAAGGGTAAAAAATGATTTACGGATCCAATGAATGCTCTAATTTGAAGTTATTGCTATTATTTGTTCAGTGAAATACAGAGCCAGCTCTACCCCTCATAAGGAAAAAATACAGCTCAGAATGTGATCTAAGAATAGACAACTTTTAAAAAAGAGTTGCAATAATAGCTTGTTTTGTACCTAAAAAAAATAGGATATGGGTATGGTCAAGATACATTCGTTGAAAGACCAAATATTTTTATAATTTTTGGATTATATTATACCTAAGCTCAAAGAATGGTAATAAACTATTTTTTTAAGAATTAGGTATTAGTTTCAGAGCCAATGGCCAACTACTTTGCTTTTTTGTAATAGGTCCTATGAAAATTTTATTTCATCAAGTCTAAATTGTTTTTACTGCTCTTGTACTTTTTCCTTTCATACTTAAATGTGTATATGCAAACATGTTGTACACAAGTTTACTTGCTTGTTTAACAGTTGAAGTCCGATTTTAGTATAATCATATTATCTTATGTATCAGTACTTTCTTAAAAGTATGGATATAGATATAGGATATATGTATGACACATTTATAAGGATTGAAAAAGTAAGGTATACTTTAATCTCACTATTTTCTTCTCCTCTAAAAGTAAGCAAAATATTGAAAAGTTATTGTATTTATCCTAACAAGTATACTCTAATGCTATGCAAAAATTATTCCAATATATGTGACCTAGAATATCTGAAAAGTATCAAATACTTCTCAAAATTAAAGAGAATTAATATCAAGGATCATATATGTTTAGAAAGTATCGAATACGTATCCTCGAGTATCCTAGGAGTATCAGTTTCTGCTATAGATACAATACAGATACGACTCCCTTCTCTGCATATCTGTACGTCGTAGGTGCTCACCATACCACATGACTGTCAGAAAAGGCACCTGAAAGCAACTTTTGGAGAAACAATACAGTTATTGCCCTTTCTCATATAGCCAGTGCGAGTATGTTGAAATATGATCCTCAATATAGAGCATCAATCCATCTGTTCAGTGCAAGTACACTGAAATATGGTTTAAATATAGCCAGAGGTTAATTTCACCACACAGCTAACATCTAGTAAGGAACTGTAATTGGAGGAACAGATACTGAATTCACCATGGATAGGAAGTTTAGTCACATCTGCTTAATCCACAGTTTTCAGGTTTTTGTCCTGCATTGTTTTGCCCAGAAATTTTGAACTGCAATGATTCTAACCTAGATGTAGTACAACCTTAGGAAACTTGGCCCAAAGCTACCTACAATTTAGTTTGAACTGCCAATGATCCTTTTTCCTATGGGGCTTCTTTTTCTTCAGGTTTCCATCACTTTTTACATCCTTTTTCACTTATATTTTACCCTCCTTTTAATGAACCCTAGGCTTGAAGTAGTTATGGCAATTAAGTCCCTCTAGAGTTGGACCTTCTTTCAAAGCTTCTCACAACATGATGTTTTCAGCTCATACTACAACTTCTCTCACTTTCAAAAAGAATAATGGTTATATTGAGCAGTAAGCCTTTATATTATTTCCTTCTTTAGCAAACTATTTCTAACTTATTCACCCGAAAAAACTATTTCTAACTTGACTGATAGCTGCATCCCACCTAGTGCCAAGTTGTTGATAAAAACTCCAACGAGTTCTCCCAGAAATTGGGTGAAAACAAAAAAAATGTGAAGCTCAAAGTTTATTATTAACACATCACTATTTGAAAAATATGATGCACCAAGCTTTGCATTTCAATAGTGCTCCACAACCTATGTTTTCTTCACATATTCAAGTAAACAAGTTTTCCAAAGCGAAAAGCCCCTTTATCAATCTTTCAAACACCTTCCAAAGTGAGTATGCCAAATTTTCATTTTTGCCAAATACTGGTATAATTTGTCATCCACTCAGTAAGGTATAAATTCAGCAGCTTTAGGATCCACTTTATCTCACCCTTTCCTGTTATTTACTCATGCTTGGTCACATCACCAATGATAGGAACATGTTTTCACAATGAACTAGTACACCAATGTTTTTTCTTCTCAAGTAGTTAGCTGCTTCCACTAAGTTTAAGATCTTACTTGTATTACCTTGACAACTCAAGAATGAAGCACTACAAAATGCCCTGAGAGAAAAAAAGCTGGTTGGTCTATTGCCACTCATTGACATGCAATGCTTTGTTATTCTAATTAAACTAGGGACAAACCTACCATTACCAAGACAAAAAATAGGGAATCAATATCGATACACATGAAAGGAAACAAAAGAAACAAGCAGCCAGAGCACAATCAGTTCATGTTATACCCCCTTTAAGAAGAAAAAGAGAAAAGCATCTCCCAATATTAACTAATCAACAAAAAAGGTACATAAAAGTGGGCTTAAGCACAAATATATATATATATATATATAAAATAAAATCTTACCAGATTACCTCAGTACAAGAGTGTAATGAATGTCTCCCTAACTAGCATTTGAAAACCCTATAATACAATTCAACCCTGGCCCAATAGTGCTATCGTCTGGAACAAGCTCCAAGTCAAACCAATTTAAGAAACCTCTGTATCATAAACTAGAACAAGTATATCTTTATAAATTCAAATAATCTCAGATCATATGTTAATTCATTTCCTGATTACCAAAGAACAAATGTTGCAGAACCATGCTTGGGAGAGCATAGGCGCACATCAAGCGCACAGTAGGAACTATAGGGGTAACACATGCTATGTGCATGCATGCATATTAGTCTCCCTTCTTCTTCTAGAAGCTTAAATTAACTTAAGTACATAAATTTTCGAAGTCACAAAGTGGATTGTGAGTTTATTAACTATCATCCTCTACCATAATGAGAGGAATGTTGGTTTTGGAAAGAAAAAAAAAAAAGACCAAATTACTTTTTGTATAGAAAGTAAATATGAAAGGCATTTAGGGACATTTCAAGAAGTATATGTCGATTTTCTAATGAAGTTTTTATAGAGGCCAACCTAAGAAGCACGGACATAGACACGGACAAGTGACAAGACACGGATACACTGAGATGGAAATTTTAAAAATATGTAGGGCACGACACATGGGAGACATGTGCCAAAAAATATATAACTTCATACATTCATTATATGCCATATATATAATGAAAAATGTAGAAATCCCCTAGATATTGATTTGTGATTATGTATCAATTTTAAGTAGTAAATAACGATTTTAACGTGGAAAAATCACAATTGGAGCGCCTCCAATTGTGATAAAAAACCACGGACAAAAGTCACAAAACAATCCACTAAGAAGACATAAAGGAATTACACAAGTGTATTCTCAATTACCTAGCGAATCTACGCTCGAATTGAACCGACCTCTATGTGCCTCTTCCAGCCCGTCTTCACCTCGGAATTGTCTTACCCAACGTTGAATCCACAACGCCAATGTCGAATCACGACTATGAGCAACTCCAGAATCTACCAAAGCTTCAAGCTCGAATTCCACGAAATCCACTGAAGAACAATACTCTCTTTTGTATTGAACGAAACAAACAATCCTTTGATGTATACTTTTCAAACCAGATTTAAACTCAAACAAACATCAAAGAAACTAGCAAAGAAGCTTCAGATATAAACCCTAATATCCAAGAAGAAGATCTGGAAGCTGTAACCCTAAAATCTGACTGAAACACATATTTATAGAAAATCGGGCCGCGAAGGTTGCTCGAGTGAAGGATCTCTCACTCGAGTGAGGAGACTAAAACACTTGTTTTTCCAAGTGTTTTTGCTTAAGCCACCAAAGTGTCGCTCGAGCGAGAAATGCAACTTTTCAGTATTTTTACAATTAGTGAAAACTTTTGGGACCAAGGATTCTTCGCTTAAGTGCACATTCCTTCACTCGAGCGAACAAACAACTTCAACTGCATTTTTGCATTTTGCTTTGGGGGCACTGCCCCTCGATCTCGCCTGGGCATTGCCCCCTGGACCCTCGTGAGTTGACCGGACAGCACGATTCCCGACATAGTCAGCGAAGTGGCAAACATGAAAGAATTAACTTCTGAAACATCTCTGCAAGGCACAATTCGGGTTGGATTCGCATCTAAAACTCATAACCTTACTGAAATAAAAGATCGAATAAAATTGCAACTGAACGGAGTTTTGCCAAACGGAATTACCAAAAATAAAAACCTAACATTTAAGTATTTAAGTCAAAGATAATAATTTGTAAGGTCTAAAGAAGGTAAATAGGTATGAATTTGTATTGTTTTTGTTTTATCATTAGATTCCAAATAATTTTATTCAAACTTGTAATGTGTTTCATGTGTGTGGAAGTGTTGGGAAGTGCCTGGTGAGTGTCATGTCGGACACGGTGTCGGACACAACATGTTAACTATTCAGAAGTGTTCGTACTTCTAAGAGGCTAGCCTTTCAATAACCCAGCCTTGAGTCCTAAATTTGCCAGGTAGGCACAAGCACTGGCCTTGGCATCAAATTGACAACACTAATTGCTCAAGCAACCATACAATCTCCTTCCAAAAGGTACTTAACCTCTTCGGCTTTCAGATATGGAAAGAGCACAGGCATCAATCAAGGATATCACTCAATAGTACAAGCAATATGAAACCTAGAAATGGTAAAAAGCAATAGATATACATATATATTGATGTATATTGTCTGGAATAAGTCTAGTTAACTTTGTAGATTTTATGCATCAAATGAAAGTAATTAAAGCCATATTCAAACCTCATAATGAGCAGTTCAAAAGAGTTAACTTTATAAAAGACAAGAGTTCAATTAAATTTAACGAGTACCAAGAATTGTACAAGGAAAACTCACCAGAACTCCGCCATTTCACTTGAAGGTATCTGTTTTGATAATGACTCATAAAATATCCTCAGGGGTTCTCTCTGTTAGCAAGAAATAGCAAACATAGGGAAATTAATGGGAATTGGTGGCCATGAAATTTCTAGCAAAGAAACAGAACTGAAAACATGAAATGAGTCAGTCCAGAACCTCTTCAGGAACATCAAACTTCTGGCCTGGCAAGCTGTAAACTTTCTTCTCTCTTTTTTTAATAGTAGTCTTTTTCGATGTCGTTCTTGAAGAACTCGATGTTATTTTTCCTTTCACCTTCACTTAAACAATGCATATTAAAACTCATCAAACCCCTAATTATAATAAGGCAGGTAAACACATATAAGCTTACATATACATCTAGTCTATTACATAAAGCACACAACTCACTTGGTGTGTACTTTACACTATTCTGATTTCCAAAAATAACCACAACTACAATACTAGATTTTCTCTAAATATTTAACTTTGCCTAGCATTTAATTTAAAGATTTAAAAAGGTGAAATCAATCAACAAAAACTGCTGTATTCAGTTGCCCACTACTCTCACCCATGTTCTCCTAGAGCAATTTCAATTAGGTCTTCTTGTTTTTCATACCTACATACATACATACATAAATAGATAGATTTTCAGGTACCAGTTTCAAATTCCAAAAGAGAACACAAAAAGGGTACCCCAAAATCTCTTAATTCACTACGGATTACCTAAAATACCACACCTAAATCAGACAAATCATCAAGTACTAGTCTCAAAGACCCAAATTTTCCAATCCACTGAAAAAGAATGATCAATTCAGAGAAACCCAAATGAACTTATCAAGAAAATCATCATTTGATCCTCAAAACATTACAAATAATTAAAAAAATCTGAATCATAAGAGGCAAAGACTTTTTTTTGGGAGATGGGTTACCTCAGATTTTGTGAAAGTGGAGATGGATGTGAAAGTGGAGATGGATTTAGTCTTGGAATCAAGAGGGCGTTTGATAGAGGTATCAGCGATCTTCTTCTTGGTGATAGATGAATCAAACTTGAGCTTTGATGAACCATGTTGAGTGCTGGGCTTGAGTTTCATCAAGGTAGATTTAGAATCAGAAGCCATGTCTCTAATGTCTTTGCCCCTACAGCATATACCCTCTTATGTTGTTGATCCGATGATGATGTCTCTTTTATCCATCTTATTTCTCATTGAAAAGAGAAGTGTCTGAGATGATGATGATGATGACGACGACGACGACGACACTGGTTGGTTAATATTGTTTAACTTCCTTCAAGATTGTTAGGTAAAGTCTTTTTTTTTTTTAATTTTTTACTACGGTGGCAGTCTGGTTGTTACCGGGGTAAATTTGTTGTGAAATGACAAAAAAAAAAAAAACAAAAAAAAACACGGTTGATCTGTTTTTGGAAACCGTGTTATTTGGCCTTGTTAGGCATATCACACACCTCATCAAAATAATATGATTTGTTTATTTTTTAATTATGACATGTAAATTATTTATATTATTTCTGTTTCAAAATAATAATTTCTTTTACAAAAATTTAATTTTTTTTATAGTATAATTATTATATTTTAAAAATATTAAATTTTCAAAATTACCCTTTAATAGTACATTTTTTTAAGAATATCAATCGTCATGATTGTACTTTTTATGTTGTTAATAAATTTAAAAGTATGGCAAAATGAAAAATTTATATTATTTTAGTCCTTAATTTTTGAAAATAGACTAATATTTTGAGATAATAAAAAATAAAATAAGAGACTTTGGGATGCTCTAAATAAGTGTACTTTTTGACTTTTTGGACTAAAAAGTTATGGAAAAAAATATGGTTGTTTGGGTTAACTTTTTAAATTTTCATGGAAAAATGTGTATTAAAAATTGTATAAATTAGTGTGTAGGAGAAAATTAGGATTGAGAGTTGTGCAGCCGTAATTTTGACCTTTGGTGAATAGTGATAACCTTTTAACTTTTTGAGTAACTTTTTAGCTTTTTGGCTTTTTTTCAACTTGCCAAACTTGGCCTAATATTTTGAGACGGAGAGAGTATTAAAAAAATTAAATTGATTCAATAATTATAATAATGTTGATTTATAACATTTATTTATAAAAAAAAAATAATAAATATTTTTTAATAACTAGATTATCTATTTTTTGAGAGACAAATGCAATAAATTAACGTGGTTACAGTTATCGAATTCACTTATTTTTTTATGAATAATTTATATATTATGATCTAAAAAATGAAGAATTTGAATTATCGAGATAAGACTTGTGATGAATTCTATAGACTAAAGCTATGTTTGGTTTTGGCTTTTTGGCTAAAAAAGCACAAAAGACAAAATTGACTACATGAACTAATAAAACAAAATGTTACATTCTAATTATAATCATTACACATTTTCTTTCATAAAAGTCAAAAAAACCAAAAATAAAAACCAAATGAGACTAAGTCATCGTTTGGTAAACATTTTAGGACTAAAAAAACATAAAAAAACAAAATAGGCTATATAAGCCAATAAGATAAAATGTCACATCCAAACCATAATTATTACACTTTTTCTCTCACAAAAGTAAAAAAAGCCAAGAAAACAAACACCAAATTAGACTAAAAAAACAAGGCTAAAAAAGTCTCAACACAAAAAAGTTGGCTACCGTAGCCAATGCCAAACGAAGCTTAAAAAAGTCAGGCTAAAATAGTAAAAAAGCCAAAAATTCAGACTATTTTAACTCTTTTCAAACAAAAACTAAAACAACACAATCTTTTCTTTTTTTTTTTATTTTTTTTTAATGTAATAAAAAAACAACACAATCAAAGTGGACTAATTTCTAGCTCCGTTTGGCTTAGTTTTGAAATTCATTTTAGAAGATACGTTTTTGAAAAAAAATAAAAATAAAAATTTAAAACTTGTTTGATTATGAGTTTTGAAACTAATTTTTGAGGTGTATATTTTGAAAGTAATTTTTAAAAATTTTACAAATTAAAAACTTCTATGGTTAGAAATTTTCAAAACTACTTTTTAATTAGAATTTTTTTGGGTTTTGTATTTTTTTCTTTTCTTTTCTTGTAGTCAAAACTTTTTACAATATTGGCCCCGTTTGGTAGAGTTGTGGGAAAGTAATTATAGATTATAGCTTATAGCTATGAACATAAGTTGGTAACCTATTTAGTGCAGCTGTGAGATTATAGATTTAAGCAGCAGAGTAATGTTTGGTAAATAAGCTATAAAATAGCTTTTGTTGTGTACTATTAAGGCAATAAAAATAAAACTTCTTAGATATTTAAAGAACTCCTAATTTCGTCCGCAAATTGACATACAAATATTATGTCTCCTCACTTCCATCTCGTTATCATCACCTCTCACTTCCATCTCGTTATCATCACCTACAACATGATTTCTATGGCGTGCTTGTTGAGACGAAAATCATTCCTCTTCATTAGGCACATAATCTGTGAATCTATCATTAGAGTCAAATGCAATATCGCGGAACTCACTTCGTCGGATGAAATTATGAATTGCCATTATTGCATAAACAAGTTTGACTTGGGTTGGCCACTTATAGTTTGGTGGGATATCCTTTATCATTGGCAATTTAACTTTCCAAACCCCAAATGTTTTTTCTATGACACTTCTAAGTGATGGATGTGCTTGGTTGAATTTTTCTTGTGCATTTTGGGGGAAGGGGGGGTTGACCATATTCAAATTGAGCTAGATGGTATCTCTTTCCTTTGTAAAGTTCAAGATGTCCTTTCATGTTTGTATACCCAGCATCCACCAAGTAAAACTCATCTATTTTAAAATTCTAAAATTAAATTAAAGTAAGGAATTATAAATATAAAAATAAATATGAAGATGTGAGTGTAGTACATCTATTGTAACAATCAAATATAAAACAGTTATTATAGACACCTCATTTTTGATGGCCTTTACGACTTGGATGTCATCGCATGCACACTCGATGACGAGCTCAAAGTCCTCCGTGGAATGCCACAACTTTGAGCCCTTCAAACCCTGTACCCCTATTGCCTCATTCTTGGACTAGACCTTGGTTCTTCAAGCCTGCAACCCTTGCCACCTTTTTGGGTTGATGGCCATCACTCTTGGTTACCGGCCACCAGTGATGGCCGGTCGGCCACCAGTATCTTTTGTAGATATTTTGTGACAGTTGTACCAGCTGTTTGCATAGATGCTTGCATTTGCTCCCACGTATAGGGCTGGATTTTCTTGAGGGGAATTCATGTTTTCTATATATAGAGGGCCTCCCTCTCATGTTTTAAGGTTGGAAAAAAATTAGAGCAAAATTTTTCCTCTCTCTCTCTCTTTCTTCCAAATTTCTACACTTTAGCCTACATGTCCTTAACCTTTGCTTATACACTTTTAACCAAATTTTCTCATCTTTGAGCTGATGTACTTCTGAACTTGGTTTAAGCTCTTGAAGGGTGTGTTGTCTTGATTTGTTGCCTAGAATTGGTCTTCTTTTCAAGAGGTATAAGGCTTTGCTTGTTGCTTTGTTTTATTTGTTATTATTCTTGCAATTTTTCCAACTGTTTTTGGGCTACAAAAACTCTGTATTTTTTGGCTGAAACTTGGGTTCTATGGCCATTAAAAGTTGAGGGGTGGTTCACTCTTCTTTGCACCTTGTTTTGGAGGCCTGTACCCTTGTGTTTCCCATCCTTCTACTATCTGTTTTTAAGCTTTCAAACACTTTTTTTCAGAGTTATTTTAGTAGCCAAAATCATGTTTTTAAGTCTAAATTTGGAGGGGTTAGTCTCCCCTCCTTGTGTCTTGCTTACTAACCTAGTTTGTGCTATGTTTTAGCATATTAATCTAGCTATTGCTGTCTTAAATCCAACATGTTTTAGGACTTATTTTAGATTGTTTTTGGTTGTTAGTTGCATTTGAACTTTGTTTTGCATGTTTGTAGTGTAATTGTCCTCATGAGTTTGGTGTTCTAGGCCTTAGACACCATCTTATTTGAGTTGACTGCATTTGTTTATGGCTTTCTATGCTTGTGATCATTCTTAATCACCTCTGCAACCTCCCTATTTTCTTGGCTTTTGTTTTGCTTTGAAAGTGGTTCAAACAACTTGTTTGTTTAAGCATGAGATTGACATTTCATGCTTAATGGCTTAATCCCTTAGGAGGTTCATTACCAACGGTATGATGTTTCTTTCATGCCTAAGACAACACTTGGTTTGAGCCTTCTTTCCATTTAGAGGGCTTAAACTCACCATTGGACTAAATGAATTAAATAATGGATGGTAATCTAAAATGGAGTAATAAAATTGAGGCTAAAATGGTGAAAGATAATAAAAAAGTATTGTGTTCAGTTGGACATTAATTGAACACATGGAAGCTTGAGACATTTCATACTTATTAGTGATGAAATGATTCAAGTTTCCAAGGTCACCACTTCCCTTGATCAATCCATGAAAGGGAGGAGGTTTGTGTCTTGTTTTGTTGTATTTATCGAACTTGCACACTCTGGTTCATGAGCCATCATGCAATGAAATTACTTGTGTTGATAGTTTTTGGACCAAGTTTACTACTCCTTTGATTTGTTCATGAAAAAGAGGGGTGAGTTGTGGGTACAACCCTTGAGAATACCCTGTGTATGCTCTGTTTGCTTTTTGTTGCAGCAAGATGAACAGGGCAGCAGTGGCCGGTAGACCATTTTCTATGGCCGCCCGACTATCACTGGTGGCCGGTAGGCCCTCACTACTGGCCGGCCGGCCACTGATGCAAAATTTAGCAGTGTATTCTTTAAGCAGAGCAGAGATATTCTGGAAGTGAACAGAGGTGTGAGTGTTCTATTGTGCAACAGAGACCTTCTGGAAGCAAAACAGTGGCTTTTCGGGTAGAAACCGAGCACGTGCATAAGCATTCCTCGCATATCGAGCCTGTTTAGCTTAAATATTTGTTGTAATTAATTAGTTATAGCCATTTGAATTTTGTAAAGTGTTGTAATTAATTAGTTAGTTTAACTAGTTATTTAATTAAGTGTTGTAATTTGATTAGCTAGAATAGTTAATTCATTAGTTATAATAATTAGTTAAGTAGTTTAACTAATTTAATTTGTTTTGTAATAATTAGCTTACCTTAGTTAATTACCTAGTTTATTCATTTGGACTCTCCTTCATGAGAGTCCTTCGTGAGCGTGCAATGTAATAATGTGTATGTCTTCTAACCCCACGTCTTTTTCCCCTTTATTTACTAGTTTATGA